GAGGATTTCAAAAGCAGCTTCCCTGGGATATAACTGACATACTATATACATTGCACATTACAAAAAGGTGAACAACTTGATAAATTTTGGTGTGTGAATATAGCTACACCACAGTCAAGGTCACAAAAATGTCACTTCTGAAACTGTCCTTTCCCTTCTGTAACCCTTCCTCACCTCTCTCCACCACAGCAGTCACTCTTCTGGGTTATGTTACTATAATTTTACACAAATGAATCAGTTTGTACTGTTTCTTTCACTCAGAATTACTGAGACTAATCTGTCAAGTATACCAATTTCTTTTCTATTAAAATTTTTATTGAGATTATAGGTTTACATGCAGTTGTAAGAAATAACTGACAGCTCTTCTATACCATTTGCCCAGTTTCCCCAACAGTAACAGCTTGCAAAACTGTAATACAGTATCACAATCAGGATGACAGTAACAGTCTACTGGTCTTACACTTATAAATTTTATCAGTACATGTTTGCAGTAGATCTTACACTTTTCTCTACAATTTTATCACATCAGTTCAAGTATTCACCATCTTCAAGATAAAGTATGTGGTTATATCACTTCAAGGATCTCATGTTGCCCTCTTATAAGCTTACCCAATTCCACCACAACCCCCATTTTATTTTTTCCCCCTTTTTTTGTGATCTAGGGGATCAACGCACGGCTTCATCCATTGTAAGGCAAGCGATCCATCTGGCACTGAGCTACACCTCCAGCTCCTCAGCCTATTTTTTGTTGCTTGGTAGTATTTTAGTGTAGGAATATACAATTTATGCATTTACCAAATGGATGGACATTTGCCCCCCCCCCTGCGATTTTGAATATTACAAATAAACTGCTGAACAGTCTTGTTCAAGTCTTTTTTTTTTTTTGGTACCGAGGATCAAACTCGGGTCCTTGCGCTTGTGCAGCAGGCAGCGAAACCACTGAGCTAAATCCCAGCTCTTGTCCAAGTCTTTTAATGAGCATGTTTTTCATTTCTTTTGGGTAACTGGAGATTGAACTCAGGGCCTTTGCACTGCGTTACATCCCCAGGCCTTTAAAAAGACTATTTTTTAGACAGGGTCTTGCTAAGTTGCCTGGGCAGGTTCAAACTTGTGATCCTTCTGCTTCAGCTTTGCAGTGCTGAAATTACAGGTGTGCACCACCCTGCCTGGCTTTTAAAAACCTTTAAAGTGAGGGATTACTAAGCAATGAGCTACGTGCCCAGCTGTGTCCCCCACCCGCCTTTTCAAAATGGTTTCTTAAAGAGTCCAGGCTGCCCTAGAACCCAAAAAGATCCTGCCTCAGCCTCAAGAGTAGCTGGGGTTACAGGTGTGCACCACCATACTGATGGCTTGCATTCAATTATGTGGTTTAACTGTTAGTCTTCAACAGGTATTCTAGCCTTCTCAGGGCGATACAGCCATCTCCCTTTCCTTACTTATGGGTGTTGGGGGTTGAACCTAGGGCCTTTACACTAAGCTACATCCTCAGTCCTGTTTAAGGTACTGGGGGATTGAACCCAAGAGCCTTTGCACTGAACTGCATCCTTTGGCTTTGAGACAAGGACTAATTTGCCCAGGACTGGGCTAAAATGTGATCTTCCTGTTTCGCCCTCCCAAGAGTGCTGGAATTACTGGGCTGCACCACACCTGGCCCTTGTTTCCTTCTTGGGCTTTGAAGAAAAAAAAATTTTTTGTTGTTGCTGGAAATCAAACTCAGGGCCTTGTGCATGCTAACATTCTCCCACTGAGCTACCTCCTCAGCATTGGGATGCAGCTACGATACTCAAGTAACTTGAAGCCAAGTGTGGTGGCAAACACCTGTAATCCCAGGACTAGGGATGGTGAGGCAGGGCTGAGGTGAGGACAGCCTGGGCTACTTGTGAGAATTTATCTCAAAAACAAAACACTTAACAGGCAACACGTTTTCCATTTTCATAGCCCTTCGCATCTACAAAATGACTGCTTCAGGTATTCTATAGTTCATTATAAAAAGACTGTTAGCTTGGTCCAATTTATGCTATTATGATCTGAATACATTTAGGCTAGGGCATCATATTTGGTAAATTAGATGTATTAAATGCATTTTAATTTTATTTTGTGGTGCTGAGGATCAAGCCCAGGGACTTGCACGTTAGGCAAGCACTTCATCACTGAATTCAATCTCCAGCCAGGAACACTTTACTCCTCAAATCGTTCATGTACACTACAGAAATAATTGAACAAGAGCACACCCATAATTCCATCACAGAGGACATCTCCAAACTTCTCATAGCTACTCTTCCACATTATCTGGGTGTACCTATAAATGCCAGTTATTAGTGTTCTCTATCTTGCTTTCCCACTTAACGTTGAGGCAATCAGCTGTCAGCTACCAGCATCCAATATTCCTGCTCACCAGAGGACTGAATACCTTAGTCCTAAGCAAGATCTTGGAAAAGCACCAGACTCTTACTTTTAGCATGACTGGTACTTAATTCATACTCTTAATAGCTACATCCCTGGTCCTCTTATCAGTATTTTTAACATACTCTTGTGCTTTACTCAGCCAGACATAATTGCAGACTTCATAACCATATTAAGTAGCATCCTACTTTTCCACATTTCTATAGGCAATTTCATATATATGCAACTTTGCAAATATGCACCTGTCATGAATGCACTGTCAGGCTGTCTTCCCTTAGAACCTTTGCTTGAGAATTGGGCTGCATTTATTTGACTTATTTTGCAGGCTTTGAAGTTCTCAATATCCCCATTAAAATGCTAAAGGTATCTGTGCATGATGCCTCATGCCTGTAATCAATCCCAACACTCCGCGCTGAGGCAGGAGGATCAGCAGGAGGATCAGCAGGAGGATCGCCTGGAGTTCGAGGCCAGTCTGGCCTATTGAGTCCAAGGCCAGCCTGAAACTATATAGTGAGACTTTGTCTCAAAAAAACATCAGGGATTTAGCTCAGTGGTTCTGCCGCCTGCCTCACAAGCATAAGGTCCAGAGTTTGATCCCAGGTACAAAAAAAAAAAGCAGATAAAAGTGAGCTGAAGCCACCAGTACCAGACATGCTACAACAGACAGGGCTTTGGGAGGGTTGAGGAAACACTGGGGAATGGTTTATTGGAGGGCACTGCTATCAAGTCACACAGGCTGGGCTGACTTGCAATCTTCCTGCCCAGCTTCCCAGGGCAATGGGATTACACACTCAGCTTCCAAACTCAGCTTTGTAAAAGAAATTGTCCAATTTAAGCTTATTCTGAAAGATCACAATATATACACCTTCATAGGGCTATTTTCAGTTTATTATAGACAAGAGACTACAGAAATAAAATTTCTTCAAGATTTCAATCAGGGATAGGTGTAGCTGAGGAGTAAAGTGCTAGGCTACTACACACAAGGCCCTGGGTTCAATCCTCAGTACCACAAAACCCACCAACCTCCACCCCAAACATTGACATATGTACCTGCCTGGCAATATGACCAAGCTTAATAAATGTTCTAGTTTAATAAAAATAAGCATATATGAAATCTCCCATCCCATGTCTAACTGCTCATCTATAAAGATTGGAACTTTCCACCTTCAAACTTTTGACCTCTATAAAATTTGGTCAAGTAGACTTAGAAGAGTTCAACAGAAAACTTTCTGAATATCACTAGAAAATTAAGCAAACTTTTATTGAAGCTTAAACTGTGGTACAGAAATATTTTTCAGATGATTTAATCCAACACCAAAGAAGAGAAATTATGACACCAAAATTTTCCCTCCTCTACTACACTAGGATTACTATTCAATCTACAGCTTTCATTTTTCTAGGGTTTGTTCCACACAAACCTGGCCAAGTTTAACATTAGCATTCTTAGGTATTTGGGGGGGAGGGGGGAATCAGACCCCAAACCATAGTCACCAAAGCTACTGGGATACTGTTCAAAACCAAAATCTACCTTGAGCATTGGTCCTCACAAACGAGCAAGTCAAAACATTAGGCGTTGTGCTCATTACAGAATCAAACTGATCAAGTTGACTGAAGGCTTCTTTAATGAAACATTCAATCAATGGTGTTAAAATTAAAGTCAAAACAGTGTTCCAACCACTTGATTTCAAACCAAGTAGATTTTGTTTAGAAACACTAAAAAAAGGTGTTTCGTTTATAAATACGGAAGGAACAAAAACACCATTGCATCAATCCAGACATTATCAAGAAAATATTATGAGTTCAAAATTTAGCCAATTCTGCTATCTTTTCAGTTGCTTAAATCACAGTATTTGCAAATATAGCTGAAAGACGGCAACTCTTGAAAGCTTCTATTTCTAGTCACTTCCTACTAGATATTTTTGGAATTTTAATTGTTTTATATCTATCCATCCATACATTCTGGTACAGTGTTAGATCTGAAAAACCTGGACAGCCATTTATTTGATCCTGTGAATGCCATGGTGAAACGAAAATTGTACAGTAATAGATCAAGTCAGAACACTCATGCACCACAAAGCCACGCAACTTTGTAACAAATGAAGAAGCCACCAAAATTCTGCTTTGAATTGATTTATACTATACTGTGTATGAAGATTAGTGGCAATCACTGCTAAAAGAGTGAATGATCCAACCTGACTGGACTTACTGAATGAATCAAGGACAGTCTTCATGCTAAATCTGCCTGCTTATATCTACTTGGTAACAAAAATCCATTTATACCACTACTTAGCAAGTAAATAAAGGCATGGTACTCCATGAGAATTTAATTTCATTGACTTAAAAGCACAGAATAGCAGATGGCTTTCACACAGTTCAGCCAGTACACCCTTATCTCAATCTACAAACTATGGATCTACTCTTCCCTGCTTGCTAATCAACAGTGGAGATGTTTCTTTGGGGGAGACATTCAATTTTCTCCCTCATCTTCAAAAGGAGGCCAATTCTCATCCCCTTAAAAGAAAATTAACCCCAAGAGATCATACCCCATCCTCCCACATCCCATCTGGGGTATAAGATTAATATATAAACCCACAGTATAACAGTGTATTGCTTTTATTTGGGGGCCTGGAGGTGGGGGAAAGACACCATGGTGAGGGAAGAAATCAAGGACTACAAATGCAGAAACAATTATTAAAACAGTAATACACAAAATGAGTAACTGGAACCATTTTCTCGGGAGGACTTGACTCATGGAAGAAAAACTTTAATCGCTGTTGCAAAAACATTTTTATGAAGTAGAAATTGGTTTCAATAATATTACTAGAGAATATGTTCTAGAAAGTGGAGGTAACTGGATGTAAAATCCTGGCAGCAATTTAACAGAAAAATACCAGATTATTAGGCTGAGGCCAACACCCAATGAGGACGAAAGCCTTGTCTGTGGGGAATCTTGGATGATACCTGCAGAAATATTACACTGTGCATGAACCAAATTGAATTATTTTCAC